AAGGCAAAACCGGGCAATCTCCAGAGCAAGCTAGTTAGCTATCCTGGTGGTAGTTATGTGAGAGCTCAGGGTTCAAGTGAGAGACTCTTCCTTGATGAAGAAGGTGGATAGCAACCAAGGAAGACAGCTGGTATCGAGCCTTGGGCCTCCACATGCATACATACATGTGCACATGCATCCACACCTGTACTCATGCCACACACACATACATATGGGAGAAAAGCATTTCAAATACCCCAACGTATGTGTATAAGGCTGAGAGCCCTGGCTTTTGGTTTAGGTCTTAGCTATGAAATGACAACCAATCCACTAAGGACAGGAGGAGCAAGCTGCTCTCTCTTCTGGAGCCAGTAGCAAAGTATAGCAATGTCTCTTTTACAGAACTGCAGGCTGAGCATGGAAGTCCCCTCTTGGGGCTTTGTGTCCTGAGCAGTGGACTCAGCTCCTGGGGCAGCCTATACAAACAAGGAATGCAGCCTGCTTGCAGCACAGCAAAGCCTCAGTAAATACTAGGTTCCAACAACTTCCTTGCCAAATACCTGTCCAATCCTCCTCATTGTGTTTTCTGGAGACAAACTGAGGCATTAGGTAAGAAAGCATCCAGTGGGTGTTACTCAATTATCATCATGATTATCTTGGGGATGTAAGGATACCGAGCAGGGAGACATTCTCCTCCTGGCCTCCTTGGGTAACAAGTGATTGGATTCGAAAGAGCATTTTTCCATTAAAAAAAAAAAAAAAAAAAGCCAGACTCACATTCTTGCTTTAAAAAAGCTGAGCCTCTCAGAATTGAAACAGGATGGGTTCGTTACGCAGTGAGGATTAATTAGCTGTCGGGTATTATTAAATGTTCCTGCTCTCGAGCCCCACGTGGAATCGGATACTGTGAAAATGAGCAAGCAGTAATCATCGTGGGGGTGGGTGGGTGGGGAACACAATTGCTGGCGATGCAGGATTCCAGAGCAGAGTGTGTTGGTCAAGAAGAGTCTGATGGAGGTCACATCGGAGGGCTCTCTGTTTGGGGTCACTGTTCTGAATCTGTGGTTTCCAGGGTTGCTGGTGGCGGGGTTTCTTTAGTTTGTTTTGCTGTTTTCATCTCCTCCTGTCTCCATCAGGATCAAAAAGTAACAGAAGCTCAAAAAAGAATCACAATTCAAAGGGAGTTGGTGGATGTTAGAATCCAGTGACCACAGACCCTGGTGTTTTAACAGCGTCGAGAGTCAAAAATGCAAATTGGCTCTCAGAATGCAAATGTTTCCAACCCTCTTCTTGGCAGTGTAAAAGTAAGGGAGAAAAACTGGAGGGCACTGTCCAGTGCCACACAGCTGGTTACTAACTCCTGGAGTTCGAATTGTTATTTTCTAACTGGCAGCCACACCTCAGGGTCTCTGTCAGGGTGATCTGGGGCTCACTTCATTAGCATCATTGTCTGCCACAGTTGATCTCTAGTGGGAATGTAAAATAGCCTTCTCTCCTCTGTCACTGGGATGGAGCCTCCAAGGGGTTAGGCAGAGAGATACAGAATCCCATAGGATGCCATCGGCAATGGGAAACCATAGTGGGCACTACAGATGGCCTCTGAAAAATTTCACGCACGTAGCAAACAAAGGCAGATGTATCAGTTAACACATTAAAGATAATTTCAGAGGCACCAAAAGGCACTGATGTCACATTAAGAAATGAAAACAAAGTACTTCCTCTTGGAATAATCTGATCAAGGCTGAGCCCAAATGTTAAATTTTCACTTCTCTCCCTGTACCTTTCATCTGTCTGTAGTTTGTGGTCACTGGTCTGTCTGTTGTATGCATGTGTATACATGTGCCTGGTGTCTGTCTGTCCTAAACAAGGGGGTTTTCTTTGTCTTTATTGAACAACACAGAAATGTGGCATGGGAAAGAGAAGAGGGAAATTTTACAGAAATATTTAACAGAGTTTTACAAGGGAAAAAGTTACTAGTCCCCACTGACCCAGAACGGCAAACAATACTGCAAACAGACGGTATCAGCCTGTATCCATTTTGCTTTCAACATTTATGGTGCATATTTGCTTTTAAGGTCGCTTCCAACCCATTGGCTGCTTTCAGCAAATGAGTACCACAGCACACACATACACAAAGACATTATTACTCTGGGCTCAGGGCATGGAAAAGTATATAACTTAAGATTAGCTCTGCTTTAGTTTAGGTTCTGAAAAAGATGGTTATGTGGGCAGTCCAAGGCACAGTAAGGTTGTTTACATTGCTCTCTTAAAGGCAGGTTAAACTTAAACAGGTTAAGTACATAGTAGGACAGCAGGTTAGGTACATCATCTTAAATAATCTCAAGGTATATTAACTTTACTTCAAGATCTGCAAGAGTTTAGTCTCTTTGAATGCTAGAGATATTTTCAGAACAACATGTCACTACAGGCAGAGTCCATGGCAGAACTCAGGGGCACCTAGTCCAGTTGTTTTCCACACAGGACTGCCATGTCCCAAGGGACAAAAGACAGTCTTAATCCCTGTCCTATTTCCAGCAAGGTGCTTACTACTTAATCCATAAATAACTTGTGGAATGAATAAAACAGTATACAAAGAAAAACATGACTTTTCTTTCTCTCTCTCACACACATATAGGCCTATTATCAATGAGGGTAAGAAAAGTGATGCTGATGCTGGTGATGGGGGTGAGGATGACGATGATGATGAAGGCTGGAGACGTTGATGATGATGGTGACACTAAATAGGCAGCTAACTTGGAGTGTTCTCTGTGTGCCAGACACTACATAGGGGAAGTTCTTGGTCTCACACACATGGTGTCTCGGTGAATCTTCATAAGAACTTCAGTGAACAGTGACCACTGTCCCCTGTGTTCTGTAGATAATTTACTGGAGACATAAGGTTTCAAGTCAAATGCCCACCATCACCAGCTGGAGAGGAGTAGGGTCATACTTCTAGCCCACTTCAGCCCACCTGGACCTTCCTATTTGTCCTTATGATTCTCTGCACTCTCCCAAAGCTCTGCACTTTTACAACAGCAGGGCAGGTTGAAACCTACACAACCTGGCCTAATAAAGGGATGGAGAACTGGCATAAACACAGAGCAGCCAACGTGGGTGGGCTCAGAAGGAACACAACTAAAGACGTGGTACCCATCAGTACAGGAAGTCCCAATAGCCTAGCACTATAGTGGCCAGCAGATGATGAATAAATAGATGAATGGAAGAATGAGGCTGTGAGCTGGGAAAGGCATGCCGTGATCAGTCATGCTCACTTTTGCTTGTGTACCCACAGTGGGACCCTTTCTCCTCACCCACATGTGTTTCACAGCTGCCCCTCTTTCGGGTTTGGCCCTCTGACCAGCAGCTGATGTTTGGAAGCACATAGTTTACAGTTCTAAAAGTCCTGTGGGGCTAGAGCTGGTCCTACCTAATATGTTCTTACCTTACTGTTTACACTGAACAGATTCAAAATAAACCATCCAGTCTTAAACCACTTTTACCTACATCTAGAGCAGTGGTTCTCAACCTGTGGGTCTTGAACCCTCTTGAGGTCAAATGACACTTTCACAGGGACCTCCTAAGACCATTGGAAAACAGATATTTACATTACAATTCATAACAGTAGCAAAATTACAGTTATGAAGTAGTAACAAAAATAATTTTATGGTTGGGGGTCATCACAGCATGAGGAACTGTATTAAAGGGTCACAGTGCTAGCTAGGAAGGCTGAGAACCACTGCTCTATGGAGTCTCTCTTAATGGCCCGTTTTTAGAAATCCATTGTATTAGCACCTCCCCCTGAGGTCTTTCCTGGCTTCCAGAACCGAGTGCCATTTCTTTCTCCTTTGGACAAAGGACTCTCTATCTCTGTCCGTACACTTGTCTTACTCTGGGTAGAGTGAGGGCCATTTGAGTGTGAGTGCTGTCACAGTCCCCTCGTTACCAGGCTATGCACATCTGGAGGGCCCTAAGGAAGCCACACAGACTAAGAGCAAAGCCTACACACATGCTGAGTGTTAACAGCTACAGTGGAAGGACCTTCCACCCCTTGCCGTTCACAGACCATAGGACTTCCAGCCAGTGTTGCAGGGGGAGAATGGAAAAGGAGCTTGTCTGACCAAAGTTCGAAAGGAGTAAGTGCATGTTGTGTTTCCAATGCAGTTTCTCCTAAAAGGCTCATGTGTGGAAGTCCTGGTCATCATGTAGATGATCTAATCACCTGAAGGTGACTGGATCAAACAGGATCTCTTCAACCACAGTCAATCTGTTTTGGGGTTCAGAATTGGGTGGAATTATTGGAAGACGGGGCCCTGGCTGGAAAAGGTAGATCTAAGGGTGTATCTTTGGAGGGTATCTTGTCTCTGGCTCCATCCTGTCAGTCTGTGTCTTTGCTTTCTGACCACCATGAAGTGAGTCCCCTCTACATATGCCGTTACTGCCATTACTACTTCCTCAGCATGGCCCGAGAGCAACGAAGCCAGCTGGCCCTGGACAAAATCTCCGAAACTGTTGGCTAAAATAAATGATTCGTCCTTTACATCGTCTCTGTCAGTTAAAGCAGCTCGAGGACAACATGTGAGAACAACAGCCACGTAAGGTTCTGGCAGGTGCCAGAGTTCAAACCCAGGTCCGTTAGATACGGACGCTTGGGTTCTCCAGGGCAGACTTTCCACCCTAGCAGCCTTGTGCCCCTTATTCCAGCTACAGAAGGTGTTCAAGACATGCTAGATAATGTGAATAGACAGGCTAAGAGTACAGCAACGTATGGCGGTGGCCATGTGGCAAGTCCTTAGGGACAAAGGAGAAGCATGGATTTGTAGTCATTAGGGCCTGGCACCTTTCCCATTCCTCCATCTGCCACCAGACATGGGTAGGCTGAGGCCCTGCCCAGTGCCTCCAACCACATATTATAGTCATCATCTGCGGCCGTGGCCAGCATGTGCTCAACTTCAGGGGGGCATTCCCCTGTCCCCGGTGGCCCAGACTGTCAGAGGCATGGCTGGAACAGCCATGACACTCACCCGCAGGGTTGTGATGGTGGCAGGATCCCGGAGTCGGCCCTCCTCATCTTTCAGGTTGTAGCCTTCTGGCCTCTTATCACGCTCACTGACTTTCCACAGCTTCACAGTTTTATCTGTGGAGGGCAATCAGAAGTCATGACGACAGGGCAAGGAAACTTTCTCTGGGGATGGGCAATGGGGGTGGTAGTGGTCAGGGTAATGATGGCAAGAAGGGCTATAGGAGCCAGCTCTCGAAAGTGCTGTCCTGCATAAATCTCACGCTATTTGAAGGAAAAGCTCACAAGGTAAGACAAAACCACAGATTGTGTTGGGATAAATGGCTTTCTCTGACGATGCACTGTTAAGCATATACCTTGCATTTTAATTTGGCTCATTCAGTAAAATTATTGACTGGAGTTGAATAAGAATAGTCGCATATATAGAGTTCATCATGTAACTGTTAGTACATGGACACTTAATCTAATGTTCATGATCGCTCTGGGCAGTAACCATCTCTATTTTTAGCATCCACCCTTCTTAGATACTGTCCTCACCATGCCCCCAACAGCCCTCCATAAGCTTGCACTCTTGACTTCCTCAACCCTCTCATATTGCTGACCACTCTGCTCCCCAACTCCCTGTGCAACTGTCAGATGGCTTCTTTCTATGCCTAGGACACTAAGCACACTTCTGCCTCAGGGCCTTTGAACCTACTGTGCTTTCTGCCAGGAAAGCCCTTTGCTTGATGTCTGTCCGTCTGTCTGTCTGTCTATCCATCCGTCCATCCGTCCATCCGTCCATCCATCCATCCATCTACCTATTTATCTATCCATCCACCCATCCATCCACCCATCCATCCACCCACCCGCCCACTCACCCACCCAATTATCCATCCATTCATCCATCCATCCATCCATCCATCCATCCATCCATCCATCCATCCATCCACCCACCCACCCACCCACCCATCCATCCATCCATCCATCTACCATCTATCTAATCTAATCTACCTGGCACCTAGGGTTAAAACCAGGGCCTGTAGATGCTAGCAAAGTTCTCTGCCAATGAATTACCTCCCCAGTCCCCATGACCTTTTCACATGACTCACTCATTTTTTTTTTAATGCCCCAACCTCAGAGAAGCTTATATAGAACCTACATAAAACTGGTTATATTACAATTCTCCACTATCTCTTCTCTTTTTTCCTTGACCACTTCCTCTTCTCTCTCCTCCTCTTCGTCTGCATAGTACACTTCCGTATCAGTTGGCTAAGTTGGTCAGGTATTTCTTATCTGTCATTGGACAATCTCTGAAGTTTTATTTGTCTTGTTTGTCACTGTGCTTCTGGCCTTTAGTGGTACCTGGGATGTAGTTGAGGCTCAATAATATCAATGTCCATCTCAAATAAATATTAGTTTGAATGTGAATGGATCTCCTCTCTATGAGTGTACTTTTGTAATACTGAAGGAAATCAAATGATGTAGAGATGAAGCAAAATGCTCTTATCAGGCTGGGGGCATAACCCAGTTGTTGCCTAGCATACACAAAGCCCTGAGCACCGGTCAGTCCACTCTTCTGTCTCTTCTCTTTTCTCTTCTCTCTCCTCTCCTCTTCCTCCCTCTCCTCTCCCATCCACCCTCTCTCTTTCTCTTCTTGCTGCTTCCTGACAGTTCCAAACTGTAAACTATAGTTTAGACTGTCCTATTACCTTGCATCCCTTGATGACACTGGTCCTTTTCCATAGCATTGAGATCTCCAATGCCTCCAGGTGCTGACAGTTCAAGGTACTGATGGAGGGGATCTGGGACTCTGGGAAACTGGTGAGTCATGCTGCACCCAGGATTTCAATTCTATATTTTTAGAAAACAATATTTTGGCTAAGCCAATCTTGTCTGTGTGCCATATGGCCTCGGACACCTTCCTTATTAGATCACACATTTGCAGTCTGTGCTTGTCTTTACCTTTCCTTCTGAAAAGCAGGGGCACATTTGATTTCTCTGTATTTGTCTTTATCAGACAGGATTTGGTGTGTGATATTGTAGGGCCTCATTCTCACTACTGCCATAGACAGCTGTTAGGTCTCAAATCCAGGACAAACAGCTGAGATGCCTATTAACATATGAAAGCAGACTCTGGCTGCCAGGTTCTCCAGCATCCTTTAGTCCTTACCTGTTACAGGGTCTTCCTGGCTAGAATACTCTACTTCTATCCTGAACTCTCCAGCCCTGGGACTGGGCTGCCCTTCTCCCCAGGTCCTCTGGCCCCTATATAACTCAGCCATTTTGGCTGTGCCAATCTCTTGACCCAGGTTGTCATCTCTTGGTCAGTGACTCCTCTCTAGCTCTCACTCTTCCTCTCTCCTCACATGGCCTGGCTTAGTGTGCATGTTCATTCTGGATTCGCCCAGATGTCTCTGCCTCTGCCTCTGCCTCTGGCTGTTTTCTCTGTCATATCTACAACAAATCTTCTCTTCCACCATACCTAGGAAGATTAATACCCTCTCTCTCTCTCTCTCTCTCTCTCTCTCTCTCTCTCTCTCTCTCTCTCTCATTTAACAGCCACATGGCCAAGGACTATGGTCCTTTGGTCCTTCTGAGAAGGCACATACAAAGTAGTCCTGGAGAATAATCTTGAGGAAACAAGGAAGGGCAGAATGCCCACTTAAATCTCAGTTTCAGTATACATACATCCACAAATGTCAATATTACAAAGTTGTCACTCTGTATCCCGTTTTATTCATAAACAGGTAGAAATGGTATCTTTCTTATGAGGGTCTTAGGATGAAATGGATCAGCATGTCTAACTGTGGTTGGGCTTCTCCAAATGGTGTCAGAATAGCAGCTGTCGTTAGACCTGGCATGCTGAGCCACAACTCTGTAGTAATAACGGGTTACACTCTTGTTTTGATCTTCATCCCACAAGGATGAAACTTTTTCTTTCCTGGGGAGAACAGATGTCCCTCTAACTGATTTTAATGGGACTCCTTGGTTTCCTGTCCCATCTCATCTCTTCACTATTTACCAGGCTCCACACTATCACTTTCTAACTTCTTCCCATTTGGGAGGGCCGCTCTTGGTAGCAAATGACCTCACAGTAGTTCACGACTTCATGTCTTGTCCTTAGAGGTCTCCAAAGTACTATGTTGTGGGCTTTCAGCAGCCATGGGGATATTTTAGTGAAACCCCATCTCCATATACCTGGGTATTATTTGGGCTTCCAAGCCTATAGTTTCATGTTTGGCGAGGCTGCTCCTTGCGGGATCCATGTATTCTCATCTATGCGCTGACTTTGACTTGTGCTGGGAGGAGAGCTTTTCCCAGCTGTGGGCTTAATTTAGAAATTGCTAGCTCTGTGCTCACATCCCTCTTGTTCCAAGTTCTCTTGAGATCCTGTTCACGTGAAGTTGCTTTTTTAGAGTGAGAAAGTTAAACATGGGCCATATTTATATAGTCATTTGATTTGCTCCTTATCAGCTGTGGCTGAGAGCAAGCCAAGCCAGTGGATTTCACTTCCAAATACTTTCTGTTTCTTGGCTTCGAAATGTGTCCGAATCTAGTTATTTGCAAGGCATTTTATATTATAAATGACAAATTGCCATATAGAAAAAATAGAAATCACAGGTAAAGCACAAGGATAAAAGTTGCCTATACGATCTCCAGTTAGGGATAACCCATGATCAACATTTTGCATATAATCTTTTTGATTTTTGGATGGGATCTTCCCACGTAGCTCTGGCTGTCCTGGAATAGAGACCACCTTCATCTGCTTGCCTAGTGCTGGAACTGAAGGTGTGCTCCACCACGACCATCTCTGGTGTATACTCCTGTGTAGATGTAACCAACTTTCTTATTAAATAAGAAACACAGAACCAATGCAAAGAAGAAAGCCAAGAGGTCAGAGTGAAGAGCTAAAACCTTACCCTTCTTCCTGCGGTGGTCCTACTTCTCCGAACCAGAGCTACTTTCTGTGTTAAAGTCCTTATATAGAATTTCTGTTCTGCCTTCTCATTGGTTGTAAACCCAACCACATGACCGCCTCGTCATGGCCTGTCTGTATAGACCTCCAGGTTTTCTATGATTGGTATTGAGATTAAAGGCATGTGTATCCAATACTGGCTGTATCCCTGAACACACAGAGACTTACCTAGCTCTGCCTACCAAGTGCAGCCCTGCTTTCCTATGGCTTGCTAATAGCTCTGACCCCGGGCAACTTTATTTATTAACATACAAATAACATTTTAATACAAATAAAATATCACTATACTCCTGCGTTTTCTGTATGCAGTATTGTGGGGCAAGGGACTACAATGACATTATGTACACTAAGTTGTGTATTTAATCACTTTTCTCCTTTTATTATGTAAGAGGTACATGCCATTGTAATTGGAAAGTGAGAATGAGCAGAAAGGTTAGAAAAGAAAAACTTAGACTATGATTACTGTGTCTATTTCTTGTAGTCTTCCTATTTCCTTGCTTACCAAGCACTTTCTAACAAACACTATGCTGTATAGGTGATATCTGATTATATATTTATATCAACAGCTATCCATATACTGTATTTATATAATCTATTACATATAATATGCTACAGGATACATAATTTGTAGTAAGAATTTGTTAACAACTAAAAGCCTAATAGTGGGAGACTTATTAGGCCACAGAAGAATCAAATCACACAAGGAAATAATATGCAGTCATTAAAACACAGAAGAATCAAATCATATAAGGAAGTAATATGCAGCCATTAAAAAATCATATGGTATTTTAATAAAATATTGGTTAGGAAAATATCCTTGGTGCTATATTAAATTTAAAAACCTGGCTTAAAATTTGTCACTAAGCACATTATTCACATCTTTTTCTTTTTCTCTAAAAGACACTAACAGTAGTTCTCTCTGTACCTAAACACACATTATCTTTGCTTTGTGTCTTTTAAAGTTTTCACAATAAACACCATAGCACTCTGCCTTTCTCACCATAAGCAGCCAGGCAGGAGAAGTAAACCCAAACAGAACAATGTGTCTTTGTGTGGCAAATAACTTCAAGGTCTATTTCACAACAGAATGCTAGCTTTATTTTTCTTTGAAAGCTGTGAAGTTAAAAACATATTCTGGTAGAATTAGTAACTATACTCAACTAATGAGATAAGCACCCTTTCCCTCCAAAAAGATAATTGATGGAGAATTCAATCCAGTTCCCCAAGGTTGTGTTGCCTGGGGTCACACTTGACTTTATTATCACAGCATTTTCATTTGACTCAGAATCTTGGAGCTTGGTGTGGGGGGGGAACTCTAAGGAACATGCGGCTGTTAATATGAGAAATGGCTTTTTCTTTCTTCTGCCTTGTTCTCGAGTAGTTTATCATCACTCGTGGCAGCTTTAAGCACAACCTTATCATTCATCTTCATTTTCTCTTTTATGTAGTAATTCCCATTGTCTTCCATTAATTTTTGAATGTTAACCTGTTTGGCTCAGGGGGAGATTTTCAACCTTAATATTAGTATAGAAAAGAAAACCGCATAAGAACATGGGGATTTTTCTTAGAAGGGTCATTTTGAGATGCAATTGGCATGTGAAATAGCATCCCAAATGGGAAGATAATATCCTTGTTAATCAAAAAACTATTTAAAAACTCAATTAACAGAACATTATGCTATATAATTAATCTTCATTGAATTTCACTTTCTTTCCCATCCCCCACCCCTACAAAGTAGTTAATAAGCCTTTGGATTTTATTGCAATAATCAATAGTTTAAATTTCATAATATAACGTGATCTAGCTACGGAGGACAGTCAGACACTTCTCCACTACTGAAGTAACTACATCAAAACCACCATAAGTCTCTTTCATAGTAGTGTGTGTGACAGAAAAGCCTCTGAGAGACTTGAACAGAAAAAAAATCACAAGAGGATAAATGGAAATAAAATGAGGTGATTTGGCCTCCAAGAGATCAGGGTTGCAAAGAGTAAACAGAACAATAAATACAGTTACCAGAAGGAATGAAATTAATTGGAATCTTAAGAAAAAAAAAACAACCAGAGATGTCGAGATCTGATCATATTGAGGCATGCTTGAGTAACTCCCCAACAGCTAATCTAGAATTGTCACAGTTTAGATCTATACACTGGCTTTATGTTTGAGAGACTGGGAGATCACCTGTATGACCCTTTCTCTCTCTCTCTTTTCTGTAAGATTGACATGTGACTCACTGTATATACTTTCAAAATTAAAATGGCAGAAGGAACAAATTTACGAGCGATCCACCACGCACAGTCAAGGCTTGGCAATGGAAAGCCTTCTGCTGTGTGTCTGTCTCTTCTTTAAAAAGAGTGTATGCTTGGTTGTATGACAGACATTGCCTGCATTCTTCTGCACCCAATATGAGAGTCAAGTTACATTCAAGCATATATTCATCACAGGCTCACACACATGATGAAATGAATCATTCTTCAACTTCTTTGCTTGGGCAATGGTCTTTAATTTTTCTGTCTGAATTGTCTTATTATCTTTTCCCATTAACATTCTTCAGTAGTGACTGGATTCCAAGCTGGCTTTTTTCCCCCCAGAAAGGGGTTCATTTAAAATCCTGGAATGTAGGCAACCTCATTCATGGAGTGAATATGTGACCAGGCTTTATTCAACTGCTAATGTCTCTTCTTTTCTGTTGATATCAACATTCCCTAAACCTATAGGACATGGAGAATTTGAAGGCAGATAGGACTGTTTCTTGACCAGTTTTGGGGAGCATCCCTAGTGCCTCTGGTCTTGTGCTCCCAGCTCAAAACTTGATTTTCTCGGATACACAGACATCTGTTTTGCAGACCCTAAAATATATTCAGGGATTAATAACTATTTTTCAAAATGCCGACAGCGTTTCGAGTTTCCTGAAATGCATTCCCAGAATAACATGTGATGAATCTTAAGACAGGAAGTCACACTCCCCAAACACCTGCAAGCAATCTACATTAGGAAACTGCAGATAACGGGTTCCACAAGAATTGGGTCATAAATTTGTTATTTATAAAAAGAACAGCTACTATTTACTGAGTTCAACTCTGTGTGCACCATGGATTTTTCTAGGCATCTTGCAAACAGGGTTTCTAAGTTTCTCACAAGCCCACAAGGGCCAGAGGAACATTGAGGCTAAGAGAGACTCACAGGTCTGGTTGACTGTCTCTGAAAATGTCAAACAGAAAAAAGAAAATCACCTCCACATACCGTTGGTAGACAGAAGAAAGTAAGCTGCATTCTGCTGAGGGAGCCATCTTATCTTATTGATTTTTTCTTCTATCTCTAAACTCTTCAGGTAATCGAACTCGGGTTCATGGCTCTGGAATGTGCTGTAAACATTGTATTCACCCCTACGATGAACCTGGTTTTTACTCTGTAGGGTGGTAAAACACACACAGAAAATTAAACCATTTAAAGCAAGCGCCAACTCTTTTTTTCCCTTTGAGCAAAGCCATCAGGGGTGGACTGGCAGGCTGCATCACTGAGTGGGGAGGCCAAGATCACGGCAACCATAGATTCAGCTTTAATTTACTGGTCCCCAAAGCATGCACTCTGTTGGCAAATAACAGAAACACACACACACACACACACACACACACTTATAAATTATATATTTAAGCTATATTAACACAAAGTGTATATCACAACATTTACATAGAAACAGAAGCTGCCAGGCATGGTGGTGCACACCTTTAATCCCAGCACTTAGGAGAGAAAGGCAGGTGGATCTCTGTGAGTCTGATGCCAGCCTGGTCTACAAAGAGTTCCAGGATAGCCAGGGCTGTTATACAGAGAAACCTTGTCAAAAAAATAGGTCAAGACTTTGCAATCAATACAAATAGAAGATCTAATATTCGAATCTTTGTGCATTTCAGGAAATGCTGAGTGGCCTGTTCCATGGTGATGCTCGCACATACTTATATCAATCCCCATGAAAGGTGCAAAGCTGTAGTAAATGCAACTTTCAATGCTTCCGGAATCTCTGAGATGTAGGTAGAGCTGGGAGATGAATCCCGGAGGCTCAGAGGTATAAATGACTCTTCTAAGGTCACACAGCACTCATGGAGCAGACTTGGGCACCAGTCCCTCCCGCCTCCATTTTTATCCAGTATAGTGATGAGAGGGCCATCTGCACATGAATGCCATCTGCCTCCTGAGGAGAATGATGGGCTTTACCTATGTCTTTCCCCTCGCACTAATTATGCAAAGTGCAAACAGCAGGAACTAAATAAATGATGAGACACTGGAACACAAAGCCAAGGGCCTGCAGTTATGGAAAAAAGGTGAAGAGGAGGAAAAGCCTATTGAAGAGACAAAGAGAAAGCCACAGGAGGGAAGACTGTATTGCAGGTACTTTGGAACCATGTTACCCAAAGTCTTGAGACTTAGCTTTGAAAATCTGTTCAAAAATTAAAATTTGGGTTTCATTAAACATATTTTAAATCAAAGTTTGATTTTTTTTAAAAAGAAAAGACTCAATTTAAAATATATGATTTTGGATGGACACAGGACACCCAAAGGCATATCTCAGCTTGCCCAGAAGAGGGTACTTCTGCCGAGCCTAGAGGTGTGCAGACGCTGAAGAAGGAGGTCCTTTGGAGCAGTCTTTCTGGGGGTGACAATACTATTTAAGAGTCACTGGCCCCAAATGATGTCACATGGCTTTTGTCAGACAAGCCATGTATGCCTGATGAACTCCGTTGAAGCTTAACACTGAACCCCTGCACCGTCCCCTCACAGGCATTTATGTTCCAGTGAACCCACCCATACTGCTTTGGAAGGTGTGCCCCCTATCATTCTCCTAATGAGTCAGGCTTCCCAAATCTCCCAGTAAAGGAAAATAGGTGAAACCTATAAATAGCTAGCAGAAAATGTGGGGTGGAATATTACTGGCAACATGCAGCCTTGGGTAATTTATGCTAAATAGCTCTTCCAGTTCCCCTTAATCATAGCTGTGAACCTAATTGGATTTTTTTTTTTTTTTAAATTGGAGATTTGAAAATCAGTTTTCAAAGGACTTTAGATGCTGACATCCTCGACACTCTTCTGGTTACTCACAGAGGACTGGTCTACCTTAACAAAAAATTTCTAAGAGGGTTGATTTGCTACCATCCAAATCAGGCTGTCAAGTGTGTGTAGCATGTGCCAGACCAATTAGCACCAGGCAGCTCTGGAAAAAGCAGGAAAAATTCCAGGTCACGAAGAGCGATTTAGTTCTTACTTGCCAACTACATTTTCATGTTTCTGGGGCCAATGTAATAGGCTGGGTGCCTGATTTAATGCCGAGCACTTGAATTTACACAGAACCCCGAGGGATGATGAAGTCCTTATAGAAATTAATTGCAAATAATGTGCAATTACCAAATATATCACCCCTAAATGAGGCTTTCCTCTTTTGAGGGGGAGGTGTAATGCAAATGTCTTGGAGGCACAAGGCAGGCTTTAAATTGCTAGGGAAGTCTCTTGTGGAGCCTTCCTCTTAACACTGGGCCTCCCTCACACCTCCCCAGTGCCCAGTGAATCTCAGAGGAAGACAGTGGCAGATGGGAGAGTCGCTAGAACACAGACTAACCCGCTGGAAGGACGGGCGTGTGCCAGGAGAGGGCAAGGAAAGCAAACTGGGCCATAATTCCATTCTGAGAAAACAGAAACAGGCCTGGGGGAGGGGGGGAGGCATCCTCAACTTATGTGTCGAAGAGAGGATTTCTAGTGGAACCCAAGCCTTGGGAGGAAACCAGCCATGGACACGGCATGATATATAACATACCCAGCTCCAGGGACCCACACTAACGTGCCATCTCTGCTGGGCCGAGAAGCCCTTTTGGAGGATTTCACCCCTTTGGTAGGCTGAGCATCATTTTCTTCTCTATTGACCCAATGTGCCCTCTCTACAACTGTTGTCAAATAAAGCTATTTCCCTCTCCTATGTATTCTGGCAGTACCTGAAATGAAGGGAGATTGAATTTCAACACCCGGAGGAGAGATCCCAAGACAACAGCTGGAGTTCGCTCCTCCACAAGCACCTGTGGAATTGGGCAGGTCAGACAAGAACAGCTGCTGTTTCCCAACGCTCACGATGCAGAAGGATTAGGCCCTGCCCAGGGAGAAGCCTCTTTGAGGTGCTTTTGAGAGTCTGAATTTAAGAACTGTGGATGCTAATGGCTTTTTTGGCAGTTTTACGTTGGTGAGCAAAGCGGCAGGCAAGGTTAAGGGCGGCAGACACGTGAGGATTAAGGCACAGTGGGAGGCCTCCTCTTAAAAAGGGGAGAAAATGAGAATTTCCAATTGGCTGACACTTACCTCCTGTTCTCGCTGAAATATTACAACCCGACCCCCCTTGTCCCCTGTCGCTAGTAACTCTCCCGTGTGGTTGAATTCTACCGTAGAGATAATGTCAGCTGAAAAGAAGAAGACAAAAGCAATTTAAGTAACTGCACACTTACTCTGAAAGGGTAGATAATAGACACACTTTTCTGTGCATTTAAGGGCTTAGGGCTCTGGCTGTGCGGTGGAATTTACAGGGTTTTATGTTCTGCATTTTAAGTACCACTTGAAGCAGCAGTTGGGAAAGTGAATTTCCTAGGTGCCCCCACTGCTCCTGGAACAGCTGAGGCGAACTGAGGGGCAAGGCATGCTCACACCCTTTATTTTATGGAAGAGAAAGTGAATTTTTTTTCCCCTCATGGAAATGGCAGTCTTCTTGGCGAATTTTCACTATCCACAGGCCCCTATTTCACTCAAGAAAGTCTCCCCAAACAGGTGTCAGTGTGGTGGTGGGGGTTAGGGCCAAGCATCGAGGGAAGCAGGCTGAGGATGTTGGTGCTGATGCTGATCAGAGGAGAGAGCACAGGGATCCCTGGGCTACCCCGCTAGTGCTCCAACTTCACCAGGGCTCTCCCGACTCTTGCATAAGCTTCCTCTGCAGAGCACACCCTTTTCCAAGACAAGGTCCTGGGAAGCAGTGTCACCTGGTCAGAGAAAGGTGCAGGCACCAGGGACTCAGCACAGGTAACTGCAAAAGGAATGTCAGCTTGAATGCTGGTCATCCCTGAGGCCCAAGGCCAGGTGAATTACCCATGACCGGATTTATTAGGGCTAGTTTTAGAAAAAAAAAAAAATGACCGGGGTTAATTCTCCCACAATCATTCCACCACACGGCTTCAACAACCAGAGAGAGCAAACGAGCTTAGAGATGAGGAGGAGAGAGCATCCAAGAGAAAGGAGAGGAAGAACAAAAGAGGCAAAGAGTTGTGATTATGGCCTCTGACGGAGGATGGCTGAAGCTCGAACCTATGACGGCAAAGGCAGGGTAGTAAGGTGGAAAGTCATGGCAATGGTTCCAACGAGCTCAAGTCTCACATCTTGCTTGTGCGCTATCATTTCAGGATGCTCTTGGTATGCCGGCTTTAGTCAGATAAGCAGCATGAAATTCTCCACCTGACATACAGGGTCTTTTCCTTATCTGAAAGTATTCTTAATTCTCACTCTTTGTGCGGAAGTAGAGAGAGTAAGGTTTTATTTTGGCTCTATTAGGAGTCAGTTCAAACTCTCCTGGGCAAGGAACACGGACAAAGTAGTCTCTTTTAAGGAACAAGTGTAACATGGTACACGCTGTCTGAGGTCCTCAGCCTTGGAGGAATTAGCACCCAGACATCTATGTCTTAATATAAACATCTCATATTCTATATACTGACGATATATTTTCTTTTCAACATATGACAATAAAAACATTTTTTTTTCTGTTATGAGACAAGGCCTCTCTGGGTAGTCCAAGTTTGACTTGACATCAGATATATATCCAGGCTAGTCTCCAACTGGACATCTTCATGTTTCCTCTTCCTGAGATCTGGGATTGCAGATGTGTGCCACCAAGCTCAGGGCTAATAAAGGAAATCTTGTCTGGAGGCTGAGGGGAAGGCTCGGTGGGTAAAACGCTTACTGTGCAAGTATGAGGACCTGAACTTGGGTTCCCAGCAGCCAAACCAAAGCAGAGGGTGGCAGTGCCCATCTCCAATCCCAGTGCTAGTCGGCAGAGACAGGAAGATTCTGGGACCTCACTGGTAAGCTAGTCTAGCCAATTGGTGAGCACCAGGCTCAGTGAGAGACAATGTCTCAAGAAATAAGGAAGGAGAGGGATTCGGTAGGAGTGGGAGGGAGTAAGCAAGAGTAATGAGAGGGTGTGTATGATGGAAATACATTATACACATGTATGGAATTGTCAAATAATAATTTTGATATATATTTTAAAAGGTAGAGAGAGATAGAGGAAGTCATCGAATGACAACCTCTGATGTATGGGGGTGTGTATCACACGCTTACACAAACACCATGCTCACACAGGCATATCCCCTCCACACACAAATCTGCTCTATGGGTTGCATATGGTTTGGGGGTCAAGTGTCTATGATTTCTGGCTCATAACCACCTTCACTTAGATAAGTCAACCTCCTTCCTTATTGATCTAAACTGGAAATCAATTCCATTTTCTCAGGAAATGAAGCACGGAATAAGCTGTGTGGTTGCTAAGCCCTTGATATAAGCTTGGAAGGCCAATTCATATAACAGACACTCACGAACTAAGGCATTGTGGAGCCCAGCATGGCTGGAGAACTTGCCACTTCGCATGAAGCATCTAGTCACTTGTTTTCCTTATAGCTCCTGTATCTTGACAACTTACTCTTTGCTTGGAGGACAGAAGTCGGCTAGCTGTTAACTGTCTGCAGTTGCCTTAGAATGCCCGCTCGGAGACATACTGAGTTGTTAGTGTGTGCTGCTGACGGCCCTACAGCTTCTGGCCTTTCCGTGAGGACAGAAATAGCTTCCTGACCTGCCTCGAACATAAGGTGGGCTCAGCTGTCTCTCTTCACTTTCGAGCTTCTGTCAAGTATTAAGTAATGAATCATGACTCTCAAACTGTTCAAACACTGAGAGAGAGAGAGAGAGAGAGAGAGAGAGAGAGAGAGAGAGAGAGAGAGAGAGAGAGAGAGAACAGGGAGACAGAGTACAGAACAATGACAAGGTGGTGGGGAGACCTGGCCTAGAACAAACAGTACCAACTTCATCTTCTTTGTTTTTTGTTTTATTTTGTTCTGTTTCGTTTTGTCTGAGACAGGCTTCAATATGTAGTTCAGGCTTGCCTTGAACTCGCCATGTGGGTTAGGCTGGCCTCAAACTTGTGATCTTTCTGCCTCAGCCTCTGGAGTGCTGGGATTACTGGTGTGTGTTGCCATGCCTGGCTCATGGGGGCTGCTGAGTTAAGGTCCTGCTTCTGAGCAGTTCATGCCCCTTGCCTTGGGCAGCTATGTTAACACACAGAACTCTGGATGGTGGGCTGCAGACCCTTTCCTCTGAGAGCTCAAGTGGAGCTCTTTCCTTTGAGTGAAGCTAGGTATCAACACGGTTAAGTAGCTCTTCGAACGTGAGCCCTGGCTCATCTGTCAAGAAAGGGCCTCTCTCAGCAAAGCAAAAGCTACTTGGAAGTACATGGTTCTACCCAGACGATGAAATGTCTTTCTTTAAAATCTAAAAAGCTGAAAATAGGGCAGGAGACAAGTTCAAATCAAATGACCCTAGACAGCACCACTAGAACCCTTCATTATGGAATAAAAGGTATTGCCCTAGACCATAAAACATGTCTCATTTGTTTTGCAATTGCCCCCATTGTTCAGGGCTCTATCTTCCTTGAGAACCTTGCAAGAGAAAGGGTGACTTGAATGGCAGGAGGATGGAATTCCTCTGTCCTCTTACAAAGACTTTAAAGTTTGAATCTGATCAGCCAAGCTGGTAGGTATAGGAGGTTGCTGTGGTTCAGTTGATATCTGTTTTGAGCCTTCCTGTTTCCTGACTCATTTATCACCATATAGCTGGAACACTTCACTGTCCCATCCATCTCTACTTATCTCCATCTAGGAGTGCTTAATAATTGATGGAAAACTCATGAATCACCTTCACATTCTGATTTCAAAGTACCAGGACTACAGATGCCCATTCTCTTGTGTTTGAAACATGCTGTTAACAGAGTAGACCTATGCTACTCAAGACAGGGGAACTTCTGTGAGCCCAGAAAGAATGGGAACTAGGCCCAACTGTAAGCTAGCAAATTTAGTTAGCAACAGCAACCTCATCTCAAATCATGATTGGCAGAAATCAGTCCTTCCCAGGCCATATGACTTTCACCATAGATAAGTTTATAAGATGACTCAATATTGCATTGAATTTCATTTCAATCTAATTTTACTGCTGAGTAAAAAACTAAAACCTGAAGTATTTTCTCTCTTTTTTTTTTTTTGGTTTTTCAAGACTCTATATGTGATTTCTATATGGGTGGTGATAAGGTGCACAGTGACTGAGAAACAAAGCCCCAAACAGTGACTGGGGTCAAATGTGGTTAAAAGGTTTCTAAAGGAAACCCAGTGTGGTATGAGATTGGTCGTGCTCCCCATCTATTCGTGCTGATTTAATTTCCACAACACGGGTGGCCTGCTAACCCTGTTTCTAGCTGAATTGGCCCCGTGAAGACTGACTTTTTTTCTTTTAAAAATCAATCTGGGCATCTCACAAAAGTTTCACACTAGTAATTTACTACATCAAGTCTCCATTTACCTGAACAATGGATATTGACTTGGCAGTTGTATTCACAAGATGGGAGGCTGAGGGAAACAGAGGGAACCCTGAGAGCATGACCTAGTCTCCCACAGTGTCAAACCTGGCTGGAATCGGGAGAGACCACCTGGTCAAAAGAGGTGCGTCTGTGATTGGGTGGCATATGGACTGGAGCGGCATTTTGATCAAAGGACAATACAGCTTAAACTCAAAGAGTCCCAGAGTCCACTGGTGGAGTCATTGTACTGACCGGGTCACTGCTACTGCCTCTGAACATCAATCATGGGGATGGAAATGAATGGGTAATGTAGCCAAGCCTTATCTTATATCTAAAACACATTCCAGGGATAGGGAGCCATCTGCCCTACTGTATCGCCCATCCAGCCCTGCCCACACAGGCCTGGGCTTTCCTCCTTGTGATCAAGTCTGCTCTAGACTGTTTTTGTATCTTTGCTTCGGACACGGATGTTGGGAAGGATGGAAAATGCACCTCATAGCATACCACAGTGGTGAAGTGGTGGCAGTTGCTAGGTTTCTATAGAAAAAAAAGAAGGAGCATCACTATAGGTGAGGTGTCTTGACTCATTGGCCATGGGGGCATCAGGAGAATGGACATGTGCACCCTTGCTATCCCCTCATAGAGATCTCTAGTTAGATTGGCCATGGCCTTGTGGGCCATTAAACAAATGGGAATTTCTAGGACTTTCCATGGGAATGAATTACTCCTATCTCTGTGAGACTATGGTCTCCTTTCCCAGTCTTGGTTCTCAATCTTAAATCAGCACTCATGTTTTCA